TGTTTGTTTGGTGCATGCTGGGACAGTACAGCTGGTGCATAACAAATGGCACATGGGAGTTTCCAGTCAGAAGCTACGTAGTGTGCTCAATCCCAATGTCAAGTTTGCATTGTTATGTGCCAGGGAGTCTCTAGCCAGAGTCCTCATGTGTACTCAAGTGCCATGTCAAGTTGTAGCAGAGCTGTCTGCTAAGTTTGTTATTGCCCCATCCTAATGAAGAGTTGATTTGTTATTACATTCCCTTTTGTTTGGTCACACTTCTTTGTAGTCATAGGTGTCTTGAAATACTGGTGGACAGGCTTCTGGAAAACTCTGAATTGGGCGTTTGACTACTTCAGGCTATCTAGAGGCACACCCAGGAACTTCCAATAAGGAAGCAGAGTGGCGAAGAGGAAAATTTGTTAAAGGCATAATTTGCATGGAAGTTTTTCTCACTTATAGACTCAATCTGTTTATTCTGTTTGGGAGGGGAGAGAAAGAGATTGAGACATTACTAATCTTTAAAAGCCTTTAATCATAAAACAGTTAAAATACAGCTAAAATATAATAAAGTATGTAGCACAGTGTCCAAAAAAAGAAAAGCACTGCATTTAATAGAGGAGGAGGTACTGGTTTTAGGCAATGACCCTTGAAACCTCAGGGATTTGTTTAATAGGATGAGTACATAGTCTTTAAAAGTCAGCACTGGTTTTTGCCTTTTAACCACTCAAGTGTACACTGTTGTCCCCATTTTATGCCAAAAGTGAACATTAGGATGGATACACTATTCACTCAGGTGTCACTAATTAATCACATGTTGCTAATGAGGTACTGAGTACAAAGCTATGGCCTTTTGAGCTTAATTTTAGTTCTTTGCCTTATTTTTTATTACAAGGATACTTTCATTAATGGCTACTGTTTTATGGCTTCTTCCCCTTAATAAAATGTACTAGTATTTTATATGAATATAGTAAAACCTGCTGGCAACATCACTCTGCTTCAAAGCTTATGGCAATTTGACAATCACTTGATTTTTAGTGCTGAGTTGAAACTTCTTGTTTTTGTCTTCATCATTTTTTATAGTAAGCTGCAAAGTGGCAGAAATTAGTAAACTTTTTTTTCAGTGCAAAACGTCATCCACAGTAATTAGATTTTGATATTTATAGTACATGTTGAGAAATCAAAGAGGAAAGCTGACAGACATAAGAAGTCTGCTTGTTGAATGTCCATTATAAATTACAGAATATTATGAGGGTGCTGAATATTCTGGAGAAAATAATGAATTGTAGACAAAATAGAAGGTGTTCAGTGAACAGCGACAAAACTTACAATGCGCTTGACTTATGATAAAATCTCCACATTTATTTCTCTAGATATTTATATTACATTACTATAGTGTCTGAGCACCTAAAAAGCTAAATGTATGTTTGGATTAGTTTGGTAAGAACTGAGTTAGTAGCAGAGGAGAATGTAAGTGTCTATAGATGTTTGAAGGAGGGAGGGGATTTTTTTTGGTGCTGCTAGAGTGTATTACTGGAAGTAACGGGATCCAGTTAAGAAAATGAAAATTTAGATTGAATAGCCAGTAAAACTTCCTGACACAGAGATCTACTAGAATGACTAAATAGGCCTTTTCTATGAATATCTAGAGATGGGGCTGATTTGTAAAGTTTGGATCTAGAGGAGTTCCAAACTCCCCCAAAGAGCAGGAGATTGCAAACCAGGGCTTTTCATTTGTTGAGCCACAAAATTTACATCTTAAGCTGGGTCTGTACGTGCCAAAATTGAGGGCTTTACTTTATATTTTTTGAGCTGGTGTTTTAGGTTCCAGTACATCTCTGAGTATCCTGCAAGGGTCACATGATTGGAATGAGGGGTGTTCAATAACTGAGGAATTTAAGTCTCATTTATCTGACATAAAAATAGGGGTAAATTAAACTCGCAATGTCTCCTTCCTGCCTTTATCTATGTAATGCTTTACTTCAGCTAAGACTGGTGAAGAAACAAGGGAAATTTAAGATGGGAACAAAGCAGATGAGAGAGACAAGAGTGAATTAGTTTATTTGAACTATCCCTCTCTCCTCAAACCTGTCCAGGTCCCTTGACCCAAACCCAAGTATTATATTTGAGGTTTGGTTACGGACCCTCCTGAGGAGGAAGACTGCTGGAGGGGAGTTTTCCCACGGAGTTCAGAGAAAGCAGGATTAGTTCCTGAGCAGGTAAAACTTGTCCAACAGGGTGTAAATCAGACACTAAATATATGAAACTCAGAGGGAATGTGACTAAATCTGATGAGATATAAAGACAAAGAAACATGTTTTATTGCTGGGAAAGTACATGGGGCCAGGATGAGGTGCTTTATTTCCATGAGAAGTTCATGTGTCTGGAGAATGTCTGTTAGGCAGAGAAAACAAAAAAGGGATGGCGTTAGCCATGGGGACCTAACTGTGAGGCTTTGAAAGCATGGCAGGCTTTTGGAAAGGAAGGAAGCCTAAGTCGGAACCAAATTTAGGGTATTCAGCACAATTATCATCCCATTGATAAATGAGAGAACTGAGCAAGCACAAATACAATGGAAAGTATTTAAACGTGGATGGGTTTGAAAACAAATGCTTGATGAGGTTCATAAATGTCAAATGAACAGATGGAACTGAGAGTGAAACCAGCAGGGAGATAAGGCAGAGATTGCTGTAAGCAGTGGTGGAAAACAGGAAACTCCCAGTTGGTGGGCTAAAGGGTTAGGATGAAGGAGCAGGGTTTGCCAAGATAAGAGCTGTAGCAGAGGCGGATATGGATGATCTTCAGGCTAAAAGGAAGAGCACAGGTCAGATAGATCAGTTAAGTGAAGAATGACTCCTTGGAAGTGCTGGAAGAAGAATGAAGTGGGAAAAGACTATTCACTGCAAATACATTATTAGATTCCATATAGATATATTCAATATTCTCTGTGCTATATAGTATGACATTGAAACTTTTTATTATCAATTTTGGTCCTTTCATGTGTCCCCAAATGTGAGGCCATCACATGCACAACCATTAACGCATCCATTGTACTATGTACTGTAAGAACTTTGGGGCAGGGACCATCATTTCATTCTGTTTGTACAGCATCTAGCACAAAGGGGTGCTGGTCCGTGACTGAGGCTCATAGGTGCTCCTGCAATACGTACAGTAAGTCAGCATTTCTCTATCCACATTATACCATGTACTGGAGATGAGCAAAGTGATCACATTTTCTTTTGGTGAAATTTCACAATTTTAAAAGGCAAGTATATGCAGAGAAGGAACACACCAAATAGCCAACTTCCCACTTCGGGTACCCTCTGTCCTGACCCATATCACTTCCATGGGGGGAGGGATAGCTCAGTGGTTTGAGCATTGGCCTGCTAAACCCAGGGTTGTGAGTTCAATCCTTGAGGGGGCCATTTAGGGATCTGGGGCAAAAATCTGTCTGGGGATTGGCCCTGCTTTGAGCAGGGGTTTGGACTAGATGACCTCCTGAGGTCCCTTCTAACCCTCATATTCTATGATGGTTTCCTGCAATTTGGCTTTATTTCACACTATGCCTCAAAGGGAAGAATTTGGGCCTGTTTGTTTTATATGTACAATAAACTAGTACAGTCATGATCACCTAAGTAATCAAGCTCCCTTCCTCTAAGGCTAAATGTTCTCACAGTTCTAGTGAATGGTGTGTATGCATATAAGTAATTCTCTCTAGTAGCAATTGTAATGTTGAGGAAGACCGTAGGCCTAATTACTAGAGGTATTGAGAACCCACAACTCCCACTGATTTTAACAGGAATAGTGGATGCTCAGCACCTATGAACATCAGACTCTGGGAGCCTATCAAGTTTGTGTTTGCTGCCCCCTCCAACAGTGTCAAGAATTACCATGTAGTGAAAGCATCCATTCATTTTCCCTGCAGGAATCTATGATGCTATTGATATATTTCAACCTTTGATGATGACATGAGAGATGAATGCTACTGCCACTTCCAAACTCCCGTTTGGAAGAAACAGTGTCAACTGAAGACATCATACTTCATCTGAAAGTGCTTTATTTACTGATATTGCAAATAATTTCTAACATTACTGGAAATGAAAGAGATTAGAGAGAAAATATTTTTCTATTTTTTTTCAGTTTACTTTGTTCATTTGACACCATTTTGTGTTTAGTCAGTTCCCTTGTTATCCCTGTGTAGTGTCTAAACATAGGGATTTCAATAGTCTGTGAGCTTTCTAGTGGTGCTCATTGCATTCTATGTTTTAGAAGCCGAAATCCCCCCCCCCCCGTCCAGAACAGCAGTACGTATGTAACTAGGTCTTGTATATTTGTGTGTATATTTAGTAAATATGGCTATTTGGGACTCAACACTGCCTATGTGATTTCTTCATGTTATTTTGTTGTGTGAAGAGCAAAAGATACCACAAATAATTTTTCCCTTTTGTTTTGTGAATTTTGCACAAAGCAATGGGGGAGAGAAAAACATTGGGGAAAAAACCCTGAAAAAAGTGATTGTAAAACTAAATAAAAATGAAATCCTATAAATGATTTTAACTTGTTTTTTTAAATTTGACTAGATTTGAAGTTGACTGTCTCTTTAAAGGATGCATTTGGTTTAAAAGACAGAAATTCTGTCTCATCCTAGGATAATCAGCACATATCTCTGATGTGTGTCACTCTGAAATAATATCTATAAGACCTGTCTTATTTACAGCCAGATAAAGGCACTTGTATATGAACTTGCAATAAGTTTTTGTAACATTCAGTGACTATGAAGGCTACTCTGGAGTGTTTATTCCCTCTGTTTCTCGTCCAATATCACACCCTCCTTACTCTTATTTAAAACTGAGTCTGAATGCAAACAAGGATTAACCTTACACAAAGTCTGGCACAACAATTGATGTACTTGCTAACTTTTTCCTACATATCTGTTAGCAGAGAGAATTTAGTTTAAAGAGTTGCATTATAGAAATATCATTTTTAGTTCTTGACTTGTTGTCATTTCTTTTTCTTTTCAGTAACTGAAAACTTTCCTTGCCCTTTGAAGCCCCATGAAGTCTTTGTATGATCAATATTTTAGATAATGACTATCACAAGTTCTTATGGGCAACTGAAGGAGCAACCAGGCAAGTGAAATAAACTATTGGTTTGCTTATAGTATATTTTTATTTAATTTATCCTTGATTGTAGTAGTGGGTATTACATTCCTGCAGAACTCTCATTTTACTAGTATTTGGTAATTCAGTTTCATGCAAATAAAGTGAAATTTTGAAATATTAGCAACTAAAGACCATTGAGTTTTCTAAAAACTTTTTGAGTAAATTTTTAGTGCTTATAAAAGCTGTAACTCAGGTCCTAGAGACTGAAGCCCCAATTCCTCAAGAACATGCTTAACTTTAAGAATGTGCTTATGTCTGCTCATATTCAGCAAAGGACATAAGCTAGTGCTTAAGTCCCAAAGTTACTTCAGTACTTTGCTAAATTGGTGTCTAAAGTCTTCTTTATATCCACAGAAAAGTATTGCACAGATTCCTCACATTGTCACACTAATGTGCCTCCTTCCTGACCTGGAGTGGCCACCTTTAAGTGTCTCCGGACTGTTCACTCTCCATGCCTATTCAGCCCTTGGCTTCTTGGCTGAAACTGCCCTTGAAGGTATCAATTAGTGCTAAAATGGTGGCGTTGTTTGTACCATGGATATCTATTGCCTGGAAGTGATTTCAGACCACCAGATTCATTCGCATAGGCCTGCAACCTGCCATCAGATGGAAACAATTTAAGTTGGTCAAATATTTAAAAAACCTAATTCACAAATATTGTCATGAGTACAAGCATTGGCCTAAATTTTGAAAAGTGACCAGTAATTTTGGGTGTCCAATTTAAGACACCCTAAAGGGGCTTGGTTTTCAGAGGAAGGGATGCTCAGCACTTTCTTTACTGACTCTTCAGTATATGCTTTTAAAAGAATTGTGTATTATTCTTTCAATGCGTGCTGTAACTTCTATATTTGTGAGTAATATTAAGTTGTCTTTCCATGTTACTTCACTTGTCAAGTGTGCTGTGTCAGAAGTAAGGCTCTCATTCGCAAAGCACTAAAGAATGTAAGCAGATGCTGATGTGCATACTTAAGCACTTAACTGTGTGCTTAATTATAAACTGATGCTTAGGTTCCATTGAAGTGAATCGGAATACTCACTTGATTAAAATTATGCATGTGCTTAAGTTAGAGCCTGAATCAGAGGCTGGGAACTGGAAAGGAAATGAGTCCTTTTTGTCTATCCACCTCTATCTACTTAAGGTGATCACTTTTAGAAATGAAAATGACAGTAACCGCAAATTATTAATGTTTGTAAGCATTTAGGTTGGTTAACTTTCATATTTAAAAAAAGAAGTAACATTTCTTTTAGTCATTTCAAATGTTCTACAGTATGATCATAAAGCAAAAACAGAATTTCTGATACAGATATCAAATACAGAGCTGAAATCATAGTATTATTTATCCCGTCAGCCCAATTTTCAAATGTTGGCATCTTAATCGGTTATCCAAATCTTGCATTTAGACACTCTAAATAGCACTAGCCACAGGTATTTAAAAGGTCATTATCATGCCTAAAGGGGGGTCATTCAAATGTGAGATTTGGCCAGCCTGTTGTTACCCATGTTTGAAAATGAGATTATAGATGTACATGAATGTAATACAAAAATATTGTCTGGAGTTTGGGGCTATATTTGAAAAGTACTATGGCTTTGTCTGAAAAAGTTAAAATGAAAGTTCTAGGTTAAAACACTGGGCCTATTAAAATCACTGGCAAAACTCCCATTGATTTTAATAGGGCCAGAATTTCACCTTTGATGTCGTAAGCCAAATACAATTGCAACAGTTTTTTGTTATTTTCTTAAACTATAAGGAAACCATATTAGTATCTCTCTTACTACACCTTTTAGTCATTTTAAAATACTTGCCTGGTGAAGGTTAAAGAGGAAGCACAGAAAAGAGATCCAACTTACAAAAGAGACCTGGCCAACACAACTTTGGATCAAGGCTCTGTCTAGCACAGTCTGTACAAGAATGCTGGCATGGTTCAGGCAGTGAGTCAGTGCAGTGAGGAGACAGAACAGTTGGGATTTTTCTATGAATATTGTAGCATACTGTAAAAGGGATTGTGGTGGGTTGGTAGGGGGTTTACTCACACGGTTCATCATTCCACCAGGACCTCTCAGTAGAATTATACTATTGTATTACATGATTTCTTTCCTATTATGTTTGTTAGCTGTATCTTTATAAATTCACCAACTCCAGATGCTATAACTGGATGGGATGGGGTGAAGGGACAATAAAAAGGAAAATATTTCACAATAATATAGTCATCATTTTAACAGCATAGACCCCTTATTTTTTATTTCCATAGAATGAAGGGGGCGGCGGGCTTTCTTTTTACCTTCATTTTTAATTCCTTAACCGCAGCCTCCTAATCATGGGGTATAATGATTCAGATACAGGCCTTGATCATGCAAATAACTATCTAAGTGCTTAACTTTATGCTGTATGAGTAATCCCATTGCCTGTAAACAACTTGTGTAAAATTAAATCTGCATAAGTCTTTACAGGATTGGGGCCATAAGTTTCACCTGTGACTATAGTAATGAGGTGTTTCTGTGGGCATATCCTCTCCTAACCCCCAACAAAAGATTCTGCATCTCAGCTGGCAAGGCTAGGTTCAGCAAATATTTCTTTCAGTGCTAGAGGACACCTTTTTAATTAGATAGGGTTCATCTTTCAAGACACCCTGTTCCAACAATATATTTTCATGTCTGAAAACCTCCTCTGTGAAGACATTAAGTTCTTTGGTTAAAAAAGAAAACATTATTAATTTTCTTTTGGCCAGACTCCAGAGATTCTACAGAATTACTTAAAATTTAGTGAACAGAATACAGTAGTCATTTCTCTCCCCCCCCCCACTTCAAACTCCATCTTCTCTTAGGGTGAAGTTCTCACCTATGTAGAGGGCCCACACAAGACCCCTGCACCTCTTAAGTGTCACTTAACCTTTCAGAGGGGAGCTTAAGTATACCTCTACCCCGATATAACGCTGTCCTCGGGAGCCAAAAAATCTTACCGCGTTATAAGTGAAACTGCGTTATATCAAACTTGCTTTGATCCGCCCGAGTGTGCAGCCGCACCCCCCTGGAGCACTGCTTTACTGTGTTATATCTGAATTCATGTTATATTGGGTTGCGTTATATCGGGGTAGAGGTGTAGCACATAGGTCCTGTTCAGGCATTCTGAAGCTGTTCTGCAGAGCTCTTAATTTTGTGTCAGGGGGTGAAAGAAAGAAATGTGTAGTATTCATGACCTGGGGAGGTGGGAGCTCCAGTTCTCCCACCTCCAACCCCCGATGGAAGGGTTGTTGGGGCTATGGAGATGGACTGCAGCCACTAGAGTGAAGCCGGAACAGCTAAACTTGGAGTTTAAAAATAAGGAAGGACTCAATTGTTACAGTCAATAAGGCAAACATTTACCACCAATATCAGAATGAGTTTATTTCATTATATGAACCCTTTTAGTGTGTGGTTATGTTTTTTTAAAAGAATATTCCAGCTAGGATTAGTGGGGGAAGTAACAAATTTTAAGCCAATACTTCAAAGTAATTGTACAAGGAGAAATCTTGAGTCTGAAATTTGAATCTTTTGACTGGAAACCTGATTCCAAATAAGCCATTAACATGGAGTCACAGACTGTCCCCTTGGGTATTCCAGTTTATCTTGCCACTGAGACAAGCTTGCCTTTGTGATAGATGGTCCTTACACCAAAAATCACATCAATATTCAGGTTACTCCCAGCAGGGCCAGCTCCAGTTTTTTTGCCGCCCCAAGCGACGAAGGGGAAAAAAAAAGCCGCAATTGGCGGCAGCTTCAGCGGCAGCTCCACTGCGCCACTTCATTCTTCGGTGGCAATTCGGCAGCCAGTCCTCCCCTCCCACAGGGACTGAGGGACCCACCACCAAATTGCCGCCGAAGACCCAGATGTGCCGACCCTTTCCAGTGGCTGCCCCAAGCATCTGTTTCCTGTGCTGGTACCTGGAGCCAGCCCTGACTCCCAGTCCCAGTCACTTACTCCAGGTTAATTGTACCTTAGATTTCTTACCAAAGACAAGCTTGTAGTCAATCCTACAATAAATTAACTAAAGATTTATTAAGTAAGACAAAAATGAATTATTTACAAGTTTAAAGCAGGTAAACATACACACACAAATGAATTCCAGTCTTAGATTCCAAAAGGTACCATTATGCTGCTGTAATATACAAACCCTGCATGTCCTTTAGAACTACCCCAAGCCAAAAAGCTTGGAGATCCCTTGCTTATGCTTAGAAATATTGCCCTCTCCAAATTCCAAGTAGAATAGTAATCTAGTTCCTACTGATCAGGGATTTTTATTCCCTTCCCCATAGTTCAAACTGATGGGACAAATGTTGGCACCTGTCTCCTCATCATAAGGGTGTGTGAGAGGGGGCAATGAACAAAGTCTTTGTCCTTTGTTCAGTGGGCCTTTCTGTGTGCAGGATGAGCACTTCACATATTAATTAACATTTCTTTCCTGTTTGGCGAGTGATACAATTCTAGAGCTTTGCAATGCAAACACTCAATATAACTTTATATCATGGGCTACAGATGTTAAAAGTGAGGTCAATATATGCAGCATGCTACTAGCATTTCATCAAGTCTAAACATATTTTTATCAACTTAACATCTATTTTAACAATGCAAATGCACAGGTGCGCCAGACTGGTTTCCAGCTATGCATCTGTCAGTGTTCAGTGCAGCCTAGGGACCTTGGCATGAGCTGGCATCTGGTCTTCCAGCGTCACAACTTCATCACTAGAGCTGCCTCTTTTTCTATATGCCCTGATTTTAATCTCTTTTTGACACCCCAGGGTAGGTGGTGGTATTTAATGTCTATTTATTATCTACTATAATCCATGCAGGACAAGAACACTGTATTCCATCTACTGAGTCATGCCTTGTACTCCGTATAATAGCGATAAAACCAATGAATTAATGTTATATTTAGGTGGATGCATATATTCTTCCCTATGAATTCTATTACATGTTGTGTTTAAC